AATTTTATCGGCAATTTTTATTGTCACGAACCTCAAGCTCGTAACAATAGTATAATGTCGTATGGTATTTTGCTATGAGGACATGCAACTGACACTGAAATTATATTTGTTTTACAGAAGAGCGCCATTAGAGCAATCTATGATTTATTATTATTTATTTTATTAATAAGGCACACACACACAGATTTAAGACAATACAAAACACATTTACAGTAACAAAAATATTATAATTAGTCTATAATCCAAAAAAGTGTGCACAGCAAAACAAAATATGACAAGTATGACCGAAAAATAAATTAATAATACATAGTACTAGTGACACTTAAAAAAAAGAACTTATTTTATGAATTTCGTGATTTTACATATTTAACGTAGCAATTACAGATCTTCTAAATTGTGAAATATTAGAATTAAAAATGTCCCAGATCAGCGTTACGATGTCTCAGCTCGTCAAAATTTCGACACATTCGAATGACCGGATTAAAGAAAGACGTGTTGATTCTGTAAACATCAAGGCGAAAGATACGCGGGTTACGCAGACGGGATCGACTGTTAAAATTACATAGTACATTAAATTAAGCAATTCTGGGCAATCGATGGAGGAGTGAATGATTTTGTGAAGGTAAATAAGCTCAAAATATTGTCTACGTTTATCTAATTTCGTAACTCCAAAGTAATTCATTCTTTCATTATACGATGGCAACTGGCGGATCAATCCATGTTTACGACATAAGCTCTGCAGAAAACATCTCTGGACTCGTTCAATATTAGCTATATGTACTTCGTAATAGGGTGACCAGACTACTGAGGCGTATTAAGGGATCGGTCTCACAAGAGTGTTAAAAAGATATATTTGACTAAGGGGTCTCTTGAATTCCTTCATAACTCGTGTAACAAAATCAACTAACTGATAACCACGTTGCGTTTTAAGTAAGTGATTAAAATGTTGCTTAAAATCTAGTTTTGAGTCAAAGACAACGCCCAAATCTTTAGCAACATTGCTTTCAGACAAAGGTTGATCATTGAATTGTATGTATACTTAAGACGAGTTTTCTTAGTTGTGAAAGTTATAAAAAAACATTTAGTTACATTCAAATGCATTTTATTCTGAGAACACCAGGTATGAATATTATTAAGGTCCCGTTGCAACAAGAGGCAGTCATTAACATTATCGATTATACGGAAACTTTCATATCGTCTGTATGTAGTAAACATTCACTTGTGATATGGTCTACCAAGTCATTAATAAATGTAATAAACAAAAGAGGTCTAAGATGGGACCCTTGAGGAACCCCGGATGTTACATGTACTGGTTTGGAGAGGAAACCTTTTTCTGCAACGATCTGACTACGTCTAGAAAGATACGAAATTATCCAACGCAACAAATTGCCATGTATCCCGTATGCTGCTAAAGGAGTATTCTTGGTTGACGTAAGCCTTGAAAAAATTATTGGCGTTAGGTAGCAAAGCTTGAGATGTAATTTTTTAGACAAGTAAATTATAGTTGATCTTTGATCTATAGTAACAAAACCATGTGTAAGTTTGATATGCTTTGTTTCGTGTTGTAAATATGGTCATAAGCAAGATCTTGGTGCTTCACATTTTGTTTTATCACCAGACTTATGAATTGGAATTACATAGGCAATTTTCCAAACAGAAGGGAATATGCCGCTCTTAATAGACTTATTGAAAATTATAAATAACGGCAAACTAAGTTCTTCACAACACGCCTTAACAAATAATGATGGAATTCGATCGGGACCCGGACCTTTGTGAGCCTCTAGTGTTTTAATCTTTCTAATAATGTTATCTCTACTAATGGCCATATTAGATAGTGCAAGATTAGACCTGTCCAATAATTTGGGTTTATAGTTGTCAGATTTTTCATAAACAAAAGCAAAATACGCTGAAAAGAGTTCACAGATTCCTTGGGGATCTGTAGCAATTTTAACATCATGAGTCATAGATTCAGGGATACCTTTACTTGATTTTTTGTTATTAACGAACTTAAAGAAATGTTTACTATTCTCAAATTCATTTTGAATCGATTTGTAGCAGGCTTCAATTAAGTGTTTACTACGAGTTCTCAGCATATTGTATGTATCATAATCCCTTGGATTACCAAATTTTTTATACAACTTACGATACTTTTACTTATCTCGAAGGCAACGAATTAGAGGAAAGTTAAATCAGTATGGATATTGGTTAGGATTAAATTTTTTAAATGGTGCAAACAGCAAAATAGCTGAATTAAGTTTTTTATAAATAGCATCAACAGCACTATCAGGGTCCAAGTCATTTAACAGTTCATGCCAATTAACTTTTCTTAAATGATCTTCAAATTTTTCAAAATTACATTTATGATAATTTGGTTTCAAAAGTTTACGATTAAATTTAACAAAATTTGGTTTATTATTTGTATAATTAAGATTAATTTCTATAGATGGATGATGATCATCCAGTTTCAATAACGGTTCTACTTCTTTTACTCTTACTTTGTCCATAGTTGATAATACGAGATCAAGTAGATGATCATTCTGATTTTTAGAATTATTATATTGTTTCAGATCACATCATGCCATAGTATCTAAAAGAAAATGGCCCTTAGTGCCAGCAGAAGCATTTGGAATTAAACATAATTCTAAATTAGAGATTTCCCAGTCTATGTCAGGAAATGTCAAGAATGAGCATTGCTAAGTATGATACTTTGATAGTGTTTCATAAGTTTATTGATGTCGTCCGACTGAAGATAAGGTGGAAGATAACAAACACAGATATTTAATGACAAGCAATTTGTAGAAATAAGTGAAACCCAAATATCCTCAAAGTTACTGTCCCAAAATTGCCTACGAGTAACAGTAAAACATTTTTTTATGGCCAATATCACACCTTCTCCCTCGTATTTTCGTCCACCATAAGCGCATTCCCCTCTGTCCCGTCTGAATACATTATAACGCTCATCAAATAATTCTTCATTAAAAATACCTTCATCTAAGTTAGTTTCGGTAAAACAAATAATATCATATTCATTATTTAGTATATTTGTATAAGCTGATGTGTTTTGGAACGCATACGATTAACATTTTGATAGTAAATTAACATTCAAGACAAAAAAAAATACAAAACTTAAACGCAAAATAAACAAAAACAAAAAGTGAGTTACTACAATACAAATCAATTAACTAATTTTAGCCAAGCAATCTTTGTTTTTAATATGTACTGCTGAAGAATTATCATCTTTTCTCACATATATATTCCCGAATTTGAACCACGCGTATTTATATTTTCCATGATGAGTAACCCGTGTCAAAGCAAAAAGCTCCTTGGTTTCTGGAGAGAGATGTTCGGAAACGTAAATTGGGCATCTGTCCCCTTGAATTCCTAAATGTACAGAGCTTAATGTGTTGCCAGGGTTAGCCTTATTATAACGTTTGACCGCTGACAGAAGATTATCACGATGCCGAATGGAAGGCAGCGAAAGCAAAATATTACGCGAGCTTTGAGCTGATGTGGTCGGCAATTTAGCAACCCTTCAGCAGTCTTATCCATATTCAAACAATTTAAATGGTATTCTTGCCTACAGTGCATATATAAACACTTTTCTCTTTCACCAGGAGGTGGTGGCAAATCTTTGCAGGCAATACAAAAATGTTTGTTTTCCATTTGTAAATGCAATAATAAAGTATAATTTGTAATGTGGCTAATTGCATAAATGTTTTTTTTATGTAAACATTAGCTGGCGATCGAACCTTGACTTTTTAAATTATTTTTAAATTAAAATAATTTGTTTGAAAAAAAAAACAAGAACAAAAAGATGAATGGCAATGTGAGAACCAAACCACGGTTTCAGGATATTAGAACAGACCTCTGCGCCAAAGCGCTTTAATATGACTCCACGAAAATGTTGATCTGTATCATAATACAGATGCGAGATTTTTATTGTAGTGGGTATTTAATCATAATATATTGTTCACCAAATGTATGCACAACCCACTTATAATCAATATCACAAGGCTAATCTTGAAATAAAATTATTTATAGCACTCACAGTTTTTAAGACACGGACACAATTTATATATTAACACAAGGACGAGGAATTATGCTACGAATTATATACGACTCAATGATGTTTTAGAACTTTAACCACGAATATCAAAATAAAACGACGGAGCTGACAATAATACGTCCGATACGGATCGTGCTAAATAGATAGAGATTTAAAACATAAAGAGTTACTGAGACAAAAATGTAAGGAAATTAATATATTAAATTTGGCCTCGCAATACATTTATGAAAATATAATGTAACACAGAAATAACAGTGGTTTTACAAAAATAAGTGATATTCATTCTGTAAATACTAACAACAGACACAAGCTAGTTGTACCAGTTACTGAAGTCTACCAACTCAGTAATTCATTTCTGCGGCAATGTATATGTTTTCAGAAATCTCCATTTTCTCCATCAAATTTGACCTGTTTCTAAGAAAAACCAGTTCACTTGTATTTCTTACATTAGATTTTCTCATTATCATCACAGCAAGCAGGTGAGTTGATCAGCGCAGAGCATCTACCTTCTATGAAATAAATACAATATGTAAAAAATTCCTATCCAATGTTCTGTTTATGTTCAAAAACATATATTTTAAATGACAATAACATTGTATATCCATTAATAATATAACGTTTATATTTTTTGGTAGTTAAAGCAATACTCACGTGCCACTTATGAATTGGATAGGGTGTTTTTAGTTATTGTACGATACTGTTCCCCATCACCATTATATTTATAAAACCTAAACTATATGCCCAATTTAATCAACTTGTAAGGAATGCTTACAGATTATGTTTTGCAATTTTATACTATGTTATTATGTAGACTTTTATGGATATGAAATGAAAATTTCATCAATTTTTAAGTACATAGATGAGTGCCGTATATTTTAAAATATTACAGAAACTTCAATGTTACACTACATTGTGATTGAAAAATTTAACTTACCAACTTCATTTTTATTTTATATCTCAATAAAGCCACTCGTCAAAATTCAATTGTTATATTTATGCATGGGGTATAATTTATTTTCACTAACTAATAAAATTACTCCAGTGCCATGGTAATATTTAATGAGTACGAAACATAAATTAAATATTATAAATGCTCTTGCATGTACACTCTTGTATGGCTTTACAATAAATCTTAAATATGAAGAGGAATTTTCCAAATAAAATAAATATAAAGATAAATATCTAATATAGGTTATGTTTACTAATACATTTTTTATTAACCGACTTTACGGCTCTAGGTTCTAGTCTTTCTGAGGTAATTATTTCTTTCAGAATCTTCGTTTTTATAAAAAAAATTCTTCACAATATGCTGATGCGTCACATTGCGAAGTTTTTGACGACAGCTCAACCCAGCGGACAGTCGACATACAGTCGATGACGAGAGCCACTCAAGTTCATAAGGCGCCTAAGCGATCAAAATAATGTTACGAGCCTAGGGTTCGTGACAATAAAAACTGCCGATTTAATTACCAAAATTGACACTTTAATTGCCAAACACCAATTAAAACTTAAAACACACTAATCATTAATCGCACTGATCACTTTAGTTTTCTGTATTTCGCTCCGGAGCTTCGCTTGGATCGCCAATTCAATACTGTCCCGATCCCGGCTTTCAACAGATTTAAATAGGCCTTTTTCACCGAAACATCCGGAATAATTCAGCAAATATCGGTCACGACCGACTAAGTGCAGAAAGTTCGAGTGTGGATCTTTCCAGAAAACTCAATTTTTCTATTCGATACTAGATGGCACTGTTGGGACAGTTCTAGAAAGCATTTTCTAGAACGCCCTCCTAGCTATGTTCCCCGACACTAGATGGTGCTAGTGCCAGGTACTAGACATCAACTTAGACGCGAAACAATAACTTGAGATTTATATTAACATCAAAGCACTTGTTTCGTCGTTTTCTCTAATAATTCACACGCGCAGACACTTAATTCACAAAATCGCATCACTTTTACGAATCAAAATCCACTTCAAACTATTATTCAAGCGACAAAACAGGAGCGACAATCCTTTCAGGTATACAAAAAGTACTCTCTGGACAATCCATCGACGGCCGAGTTCCCGCCAAAACTCCCTTTCACACAGTGTTGCCAGATGCCTTGAACCTTTTATCTGTAGTAGAAACTGCTAAAATATGTATTAAATCTGAATGCTATTTAAACTTAAAATCTGTATAATCAAATAAACCAAAATAGACAATTGATCATCATCATCATTCCTTCTTTTGAAAAACAAGGAATAACTACTAACGTGATAAGATTTGGTTATCGTTATTAAATAAATATATACATTAAAATTTTTATATGACAAAATTGAAAACATCCGTTCCGAACTATTCACTTGTATCGCCAATTCAATACTGTCCCGGTTACGGCCCTAAACGGATTTATATAGGCCTTTTCCACCGAATATTATAAATTAATATTCCAGCAAATACCGGTCCCAACTGACTAGGTGTAGGAAATTCGAGTGTGGAGTTTCCTAGAAAGCTTAGTTCTATTATTCGATACTAGATGGCGCTAGTGATTATCCGAGCCCGGCCGCTAGCGGGATATATGGCAAATTCGTTACCGGTCTGATGTTTTTACTTCAAAACTTCCACAAAAATACTCTTTTCTTCTTGGCCATTTACAAAAATTTGTTTTTAATTTAAATGATTTCCCGTTCTTATCTCAGATCCATCGTCGAGCACGGAGCTCTGTAAAAAAAGTATAAAAGCCGAACAATCGGCCAATAAAGTCAGTCTCGCTTCAGCTTTTAAACTAGAAGCATCTCCTAAAGGCCTTATCCCGGGGTCACACTGCCCCGGGATCCTTCAAGCCTTTGCCTTCACCTGAAGTCGTCGCCTAGCCACGCCTACGCCTCCACCTACTAGTGCCCGCGCTATCTTTAGCCGCTGTGCGTGCTTGCTCCAGGCGCTGCGAGCGCCTACTTCAGGCGCTGAGAGCATCTACCAAGGCGCTGTGGTGCCTACTCCAGACGCTGCGTGTGCCTACTCCAGGCGATGCGTGTACCTACTCCAGGCGCTGCGTGTGCCTACTCCGGACGCTGCGTGTGCCTACTCCAAGCGCTGCGTGTGCCTTCTCCAGACGCTGCGTGTGCCTAGATCAGGCGCTGCGCACCTACCGAGCCCGATATATCAGACATCAACTGTCGCTCGCAACACTGCCCCCTCCTAAGACATGCTTGTCCCGAGGATTATCAGCCCCATAATAAAGCGATAGTCGATCCACATGGACGATCTTAGGATTTCCTGTTGCATATTTCTGAAAGGGCTCCGCAACGTCAAGGGCTGTCCCCTCACATGGTGCACCAACATTGTACAATTTCAATGCACCTCTACTACGAGTATGAAGTCCCTTCACAGCCGCACAACTTATACATTTGCGACACCAATCCGCAACATCGTCACGATAATGGACCCAGTAAAACCGTTTTTGGATCTTCAGTGGAGTTCGTTTAGCTCCCAGATGGACTTCTGAACAACCATTATGGTACAGCTGTAGAACATCCGGCACTTTAGCTTTAGGGACAACCATTTGTAAATGACAGCTGTCTCCTCGACCATTTTCCCATTTACGGCACAGGACTTCATCCTGAAACAGCAAGCAGTCCCATTGAGCCAAATAGCTATTCGTGGTCAAACTCATCGCTGAGACGTCACTCCACTTGGGCTTGAGAGCACTGACCTTCATTCATTCCAGAATCGGCTTGATGTTTGAATCTTCCTGCTGTGAATGTCGTAGACTGTCCTTTCATTTGTTGCTGAGGTGGTCTGTCCTGACAATCCTCAAAGATACCACTTCCTTGCACTCTTACCTGGTACTGTTCTTGCAATCATCAGTATAAGGTCTTCTTGATAATGCATCTTTGTTGCCATGCGTTTTCCCGCTGCATTGTTCGATAGTAAAGTCGTATTCCTGCTGCTGCTGGGTGGTGCTGTTAGCCGCTAAAACCCCTCGAGATCGATCAACTTCCCTTTTTACAGTTTGCTTACGGCAGCTGAATCGAAGATGGCCCCTTTCCCCACAGCCATAGCACCTAGTGCTGTATCCCTTATTGCGGTCTCGAACTATAGCTGCAGCAACCTCCCTGACGCAATGGGACCGATGATCCTGCCGCACGGCTTCCACTTCCAGTGCATGTGACAAGGCGTCCTTAAGCGTATCGTGGTTCCCGAGCCTCACAGCAGCTCTGACTTCGATGAATTTCTGCACCAGGTTCCCTTTAATGAGTGCAGGTACAGACTGGTATGCTTTTCGAACCAGCTTCTCCACCTCAAAGGCCCACTGCTGCAGGTTTTCGTTGCTGCGTTGCACGCGATCTTTAAGCTGCACACGAAACGTGTTTAAAGATCGACGTGTTCCAGGTGAGCGTCACCATATCTAGCCTCAAATGCCTCAAAGAGCTGCTCGTAAGTCACTCCCTTACGGAGAGCTTCCAAAACAGTTAAGGCCCGGTCGCGCAGGCTCAGTGTGAGAGCAGTCATGGCCTGACTTTTATTCCAGCCGTTCGCTTTCATGACAGCCTCGAACTGGATTTTGTAGGCCAACCATGAAGAAGTCCCGTCGAACGGCGACACTGAATCCACGTAGCGAAGGTGTTATAGCTGCTAAGGGAGCTGTAATTCCATCCCCAAGTTTGAGTTCGACCAGCGTTTTCTTCACTTGCTTGATTTGGGTTTCTGCTTCCGAGAGGCGGTTGTCATGTTGAGCATTAAGCTACTATTTTACGCTGGTATTCTTTAAGAGCGTGGTCCTTCCTCGGTCGAGCTGACCCAATCGTGCTACAACTGTACTACTAACATAACTGCAACATGGCTCTACCATGTACAAACTAGTACTTATTAGTAAGCTTTAGGTCTAAGCTGTTAGTGGTAGATGAAAGAAAGAATGAATGTAAAGTATAGGTACAGGTACATATTCGTAACTTATGACTAATCCTATGAAATCCTATGAAACCGTTATTTGAGATATTTCCGCTTCCGGTTTCTTTTCCTTGGACGTCATTTTCGACGGTGTACACTACACAGACACAAAAGAGCACGGCACTGGATCACGTCGGGGGTCACCACTTTAACTGATGTATGTGTAGCGTATTGGAAATGAAATAGGTCCTTGTAAGGGATAGCGTTTAATTGCAATCACCGTTTTGTACGGTAAAAGCAAAAATAACGACTGAACATAGATTAAAAAGTAAAGCGTATAACTGCACATTTACATGTGATAAAAAAGAGGAGACGGTTATAAACGTGGACTGTCATGACTGTACTGCTCAAACTGGGGGCTGCAAACACAGCGTAACATTTTGATGTGGCTCCATAGACGCAGCGAGGAGCCATATCTTGCTGAAAAAAAATGTTACGGGGTCAAACCAAAGCTGGCTACTATAGGTACTAAATTAATAAAAACTAAAGATATGTGTCCCAGCTCAGTTACTACTGAAGATAAAAGCACTGATAACACCAATGGAGACCAGTTTTTCCTAGCAGTTGTGCAAAGCCTAAAGGAAAATTCTATTAAAATCAGTTATCAGTGTACGTTAAAAGAATGAGTTTAAAAAACTATCTTTGCATAATCTCGTTCATCTATACAAAAAGGAAAGCCATAATATGAATACTGTAGGCGATTTTATTGATTATTGCTCCACTAAAATCACCATAGAAGAATGCCACAAAGCAGAGGAAGCATCAGTTTGTCAAGCTAGTTCACCGTTATGGCATGAGTTAAGGTATTGTAGAATAACCGCGTCTAAAGTTCACGAAGCTTCACATTGCAAGACGCTTAATGGTGCTTTGATTGAACAAATATTTGGTGCCTTTGTACCAGAGACTCGATTGGAATCCGATGTCAGAGCAGAAGTAGCCAATCGAAGAAAAATGGTAATAGAAAATGGTGGTTATTTTTTAAAACCCGATTGGCCTCATTTAGGGCCTTA